TTAGCCTATGCAAATACTGATAGTGTCATTTAAGAAGTTGTTTATAAGGGACATCTTCCACGTCATGTGGCCTAGCCTATTTTCCCTTGTGTTTATGTAACTGTGCCATTCAGCTTTGCAGACTATAAGGTCACACTCAGTTAAGAATCATCATAGAATCATAGAATGGTTTGGACTGGAAGGGACCTTAAAGATCATCTAGTTCCAATCCCTCTGCCATGAGCAGAGACACTTTCCACTAGACCAGGACACTCCAAGCCTCATCCAACCTGGCCTTGAACACTTCCAGGGAGGGAGCATCCACAGCTTCTCTGGGCAACCTGTTCCTGTGTCTGACCACGTTCACAGTTAAGAATATGTAGTCAATGATGTGGTAGAGAATCCAGGGAGAATTCACCAGGGGTAAGTTCTGCCCAGTTTTTTTCTCAAGTGAGAAAACATTACAAGGTCATATTAGCAATCTGAATCTAAGCAAAACCTAATACAAGTCGTTATGCATTTAACTTCAAAATACTTGAGATGATTGCTTACTACACTAAAGACATTAATGCCAAGTTTCAGAGGCAGGTTACTTATTTCAACATGCCATGTTTAATAAAAAAAAAACCTCAACCTTCCTATCCTTTCTCATTCTTCTCTGATATTTACAACTGTGTTCCCTGTCAGAAATAAAAATGGTATGCTCAAAATAAACATATATGGAAACCAACATACAGTGATAGGAAGACCAATGCAGTTTGTAGTTTCAACAAGTGCTAGCAGCATAAGGTAAGTTTGAAGCATCGCTCCCCATCCCACCAAGGTCTACCTTTTACTAAGCTAGTGAAGGTAAGAGTCACGTAGTGGGAATCTTCAGTGTAACTAGCATTTGTCATATGTTAGCTAATTGGAGGTAAAAGAAGAAAATTTTTTTGTGAAGATGGATTCCAAGGGGTTATCTGCACTCCTTTCAAATATTGATTGTACAGCACATCTCCTTTGCTATTCTTCTACTAAAAATCTAAACATGAAACTAAAGTGCTAGGAAGTAGAGAAGAGCACAGAGAGGTAGAACAGGAAAATTCTTCAGCTGGAATGAATGACAGGGACATGTATTGCCTCAGGTTCAGACAAGGTAAGTTGTTTACCCTCTCGAAGCTTATAGTTTTTGGAAGAATATACACACGTGGACAGAATGTAAGTGAGCCTAAAACCAGCTACCCCTGAGCTGTGTGCATGCTTCTACACTGCATAATAAAAATGAGGGATCTTAGTTTTGAAACCGTCTTGGAGACATAACACTCTGTGGTAGAAAAAAGAGCTGGTACTTCAATATATCTAAATATACAAAGGTTAATGTTTGGGCTTGGGTCTTTTAGAAATTCTTAGATGCATTCTTCTTTAGATGTATAGTACCAGTAACAAGGAAGAGGTGGAACTCAGTATTCTAAAGGGTTAAAGTGAACTTTAGTCTTCCACTGATCACCCTCTGGTACTGTGTCTTCATAAATTTCCCCAGTTTATGGAGTGTTTTTGATGGCAGGCAATTCTTTGTTGAAAGTTAAGTGCTCTTTTATATGAATAAATAAAGAAGGCTTTAGTTTGAATGAATACATTATTTTGACAAATGTTTATTGGAAACCCAATTATGGCTTCATAAATCAGTGCTATCTGTGGTACATCAGGTGAGCTCACTAATGCCATCAAATGGCACATTGAATATTAGTAGGATAATTAAAACAATTCTGTTGAATGTTGTCCCTCTTACCCAGGTCTGACAGTAGTCAAAACAGGAAGAAATTGTTTATTATTTTTATTTAACTTATTAAAATACTTCTTATAATACGTAATGGAAATAGTTAACAAAAAAGAAAAAAAAACATTTGTTTTCAATTTGCTGATAGATTAAAATGACAAGGTCAGGCACAATGCATGGACTGAGTGACAGCTGCAATTAAAGAGTAGTTGGGGAACAGAAAGGATACGTATGAAGTCTATTGTTTGAACTTCACACCTAGGTGAAGTGGAGCTGTGCTTGTTTTGTCTGAAGTGGTCACTGGTATGAAATGTGTCTAGAAGCAACTCGTGTGCTTCCTTGTCCTTCCTGCTACAGTGATTCTGAGTTAGAGTGACTAAATTAATTAAAAGATATTTTCATAACTATGAAAATGAAAGAAATGAAGTGAAAATCTTGAACTCAAGGTCAAGAAGAAAGGGAGGATGTGAAAGTTGAAAAGAAATAAATAAAAGCCTACACGGGACAATCTAACAGGAATTCCCACCTCCTGAGGCCCTCTGATTGATGACCTTTGGAGACCTTGACAGTATCTGTGGAGGGACACTGCAGATTTGTTTAAGCTTTCTGAAAAGAATCTGCATCATTTCCCAGTTTTAGGATATGGCTAAATTTATATCCACTAGGATTTACAAGCATAAAATAGGGATTGAAACTTAAGTAATTGGGTTTGGTGTGTATTTGCATTAGTGTGATATAAATAGTCACATAAATGCCTTTCTTACCAACTCAGCATTCTTCTTAGTGGCACAGAAGAGGGAACAAGGAGACATAAGAACAGAAGGCAGTACAACATTCAGCTTTTCTCCCATGAAAGAAAATGAGTGTTCAAAGTTGGCCAGAGACATAGCAATGAAATACTTTTATTTGGAATTTGTCAGGTCACTGAAAGGAAGGAAAAAAATAAAAAAATCACCAAGTCAAATTTGTTTTGTTTCACTAGAAACTAACTTTCCTCCAGAGCAACCTAGGCTCCAGATTTCTGGCATCTGGCAGCAGGCAGCCAACCTGGAGGCCCCAGGGCTGAAACTCCCACACTAGGACTTCTCAGAAGCTCATATTTTCCCAGAGATCTGTTTCTCAGATAATGTACAAAGTTTGAGGTCTTCTTCCAAATAATGGTCAGACAAAATTTTGTGATTTTCTGCAAGACAGAGATAATATCCTCCCTTTCCCACCCTACCTTACCCTAGTCCCTTCTCAGGTTTTCAAATGAACAAAGAATAAACGTGGGAGAAGCAATATAGGGATAGTCTTCACTATTTAGGATCCTAATTTTTCATATCAAAATGAGTACATTCATCCTAAAACCAGGCATGCATTTTGCTGCCAAAGGTACCATCACTAATAATAAGTATTCTGTAGATAAAAGAGAACTTAGGGCAATCCTGATCCATGATGAAGGATAGAGCCTTGGGTTTTGTCTCTTACCTAAGCAGCCCTTCCAGTACAAACAAATCTCTTTTCCAGAGTAGAGAGAAGTTCAGGTACTGTTTTATATATTAATTTTAGGAAAACTATTGCTTAAGTCTCACAGATTGTGCTTTTTTAATGTCTTAACTTCTGGACCCACATTCTAGGTACCCCTAAGTGGAAATAAGGGATTTTAGAAGTAAATTCTTCTTACTACACCACTTTTTCATGTGTATCCTCAGAAAGGCAGACCATTCAGTCCAACCTATGCACCCAGAAATTAATTTCCTTGAATACGATTAAGGAGATGTAAGTAAGTGGCTGGTCTGGCAAAGAGAACTATGGAACTGCAACAGGAAAGAAACGCTTTTAGAAACTTCCCTGAGCTCTGCTAAGGTTGGAAGGGTAATAACAAAAAGAGCCTGCAGTCCATGGACTTGACACAAAAGATGCAAGACACAGCTCTTCAGCACCCTAATTATCAACCAAAGCATCATCCTTTCCCCCAAAGTCTCAGGGATGTTTGCTGTCAATCAATAATGCTAACAGATTTGGTTCCTGGCAAAGTTTATCAGTTTTTCTTATCTCTGATCTCTTTCCTCAAGCTGTTTCTTCCTTTTGCCTGTGGCTATTCTAATTGCAAATGTGAATTATTTGAAGTCCAAAGGAGGGGAGAGAAGGAGCCCTAGTTTTCATAATTCACATTTAAAACCCAGTAGCTCTTCCCCTCAGATTTTATTTCTGAAGATGCTGTGGCTATCAACCTTATTTCTTTTGCTGTTGATTTAGCATTTGAACACAGGACTGGGAAGTTGCCTAATTTCACTCCGCTTTCTGCCAAAAAATCGTGATGGACAAGCTGGTTATCCCATCATTTCCCAGGCCCTGTGACTGCAATGCATCAGAACAGTTGCTTCTCCCTTCTCTGATGACAAAGACAAAAGAAGCTGCACCACTGCATACCTTGCAGAGCCCTCTATTTCAGTGTAAACCAGCATTTAAAGTATTACATCTGAGAGCTCAAAGGAGAGGAAATCTTCAAGGAAGGTAGTTCTTGCTTTATATGCAAGACTCCTGTTGCCATCCATAAATCACTCAGGTTCCTATTATAATTCAGAACAACAAGCTGGCATTACCCCTAAACACAGAAGGTTGTGTGAAAGATAAGCAGAACAAAAACAATTAAAGGAGTCATTAAAACACCTAGAAGATAAAATGCTTGAAATTATCTCCCCAAATTTCCTTGTGGCAAGACAGTGATTGAGCCATAAATCAAAGCTATTCTTCTTTAGGGGACATTTAGGGAGAAGGCAGTAGGCTTTGTAGCTATGCTCATCTAAAGAACTGAAGATTTTACACTAATGGGGAGAAGCAGAGATAACTGATCACCACTCCCAATTATTTCAAATGCCCTCCTCTTTCCTTCCAGCAAGAAAAGAAAAGCAAGCCTTGTTTTTAACAGAATCAATAATCTATTATAAATGAATAGAATATGTTTTTAATGTTAGCTTTCATTTTATTAACTTTTTAGCTTTTCCTACATTTTATTTGCATTGTTAAAAACTAAAACAGTGAATTGTGTAGGATGGACAGATGAAATTGCTTCTTTTTCAAAAGTAACTTTGACCAGCACATCGAGAAATATTAATGTTAAAAAGGCTTTGTACAGTATCTCAGAAAACAATAGTTATTCAGAGCTAATAACTCTGGTCTGTTATGTACTACTTAGTGATGATACACACGAAACAATGACCAAGAAACTGACTGTCCACTAAGTGCTTGCTTTGAAGTCCACACAAAAAACCCATACTGTTCATTGCATTAAGAAATTTTGAAATCTACCACTTTCCACTCTATCTTTTTGTCCTGCTGCTCCATCAACTTCATCTGAATGTGCCTGTGGTCTGCAATATGCAGTGGGATGAAAAAACCTATAATAAACAACAAGAAAAATGATACCTAACACCAGACTAAGAATAGTTAAGATGCTCACAATTGTAAAATGTATTTCCATGATAATAGAAGGTTTCCAAAACATATATACAAACAAAATACCTAGTGTCACAACAGTGTGAGTAGCATAATAAATAGAAATGCAAAGTTTTGTTTTTCTCCCCTTTATGTTAAAAAAGGTAAAAATTAGAATTATTCCAACAACAGTTCTGTACAGATATTCCATCTTCTTAGATTTGCAAAATATTGTATGTTGTTTCAAAGTCCAGGTGAAGCCACAGGTCCAAAGAAATATCAGCAGCATTCCAGAACTTCTAACACTCAGTAGAGTGATCAGTGAAATACTGAATATCCAAGAAGTGATAGTAAGCAGTTTATAGAAGAGATACACTAACTTGGGAAGCACACGAAATTCCTCTTTATCAGGCAGAGATTTTCGTAGTGATATCTGATAATCAACCATTGAAATGGAGATACCACAAAAAGATATAATAATGGCAGCATCTTAAAAAAAAAAAACCACAAAGATAAACATTAAACCTAAATAAAAGATACTTATTTTACATTATAATTTCTGAATGAACTTTTGGACAAGTTCATGCTTTCTTAACACTTTTTTTATACCAATTTTATATTTCCTCTGTGCTCCAAGACAAGTAATCTTAATTTTAAGGCTCAATTTAGTTCCCTAAATCTAGGCATCTAATGCTGTTTGGGATGCCTATGTTACCCTGCCCAGGCTCTGGCCATTGAGGGTCTCACCTAAGTTGTGTGTCATATTTGCCATCTCCATGCACAGATGACTTAGAATTTCCCAAAGTTTTTCAAATAGCCTATAAAAACTTAAGTTTCAGCAACTGATATTGACTCTGGGGTGTCTATAATGTAGAAATCTATAACTAAGACTTGCCTCTTCACATATTTAAGATGAGATTCATCTCACCATTTTGTCAGAGTACCTATTGACTCTATGGACTATGAGGGAACACTAGAGGTTAGATTGGGTTAGATAAATTCCCACTCTCCATTTGGTTAGATAAATTCCAACCCTGTAACATGTGGATGATGGCAGTGACAGCTCACAGAGCTGCTCTAAATACCCTACTGATTTCAAGATGCCTAGTTAGCAGTTTTAAAAGAAGCTGTAAGCAAAAGCACACAAAAAACTGCTCTGAAAATTGTACACCAATTGTATTCAACAGCTTATTTTCAAGTGACTTATCATTATGTTTCTACTAGATATTATTACTTGTTATCAGGAAATCTTCCTTCTTATGGATTTAGCAGAGTGGACCATCTACTAGACAGAAAATTTAACTAGATGGAGAGCAATTATCCAGTGGGGTATATGTTTTCCAAGGTATGTTTAAAATGTTACCCAGTCACATGAGTTATCCTTTTAGGTAAGATACTCAACTTGCAAATTAAGGAGAAAGGCAGACTCACATTGACAGAAATTATTTTTGCCATGTTCCATGAGGATGTAAAGCTGGATAAAAAGCTGTGGTGTGGTCTCAAGAAAAGTCTTGAACACCCTGAGCATATTAATATCAGTCACTACATCAACAGCTTGTTTTTGAATGAAGTTGGGAGGGTCCGTTTCTGGTGCATCTCCACTGTTTTGTTTAAATGCAGCTTGGCAGCCGTACTTCAAAGCAAACCAATACCTATTAAAAAGGAGACTTGGTTAGACTGCATCTTTTAAAAGTGCCACTCAATAAAATTATATAGCCTAACAAGGATTTTTCCCATTTCGTTTTCCATTCATATTTTATCTTTGAATGTAATCCAGCACCTTCTACTAAGATAAAATTTAGTCCAGTACGTGTCTGGTATCAGTGATATCAGATAATAATTTATGACCAGTGATACCAATGCAATGTAAAAACTATTAGAACAGAATAAGACCTTCCTGAATAAAGATTACAAGCTTTATCTTGTTAGGTGCTTATTTCTTTACAAGTACTGCATTTCTGAAAATCTCCTTAGCGGCTCTTCTCAGTCGCTGAGATACTCATTCACTTTCTTTGTATCCTTTTAAGGGTATTAGTGAATATCCAGCTGTGACCATCCACCTCTGTTTAAGTATAATATAGATCCATAAGCCCAAAGGATAATATCTGATGAATTGCAAATATATAACAGGCTTAAAAAAAATCACTAAGGTGTTATTTTCTAAATACTCAGGAACACTTTCATTTCAAAATATTATTTTCAAGACACATAGATTCCTGGGTTGACAGATTCTATTAATAATTTGAGTGGTTTTACATGAAGTTTCATAACTCTGCAGCACCGCAATAGGCACTGTCATTGCTACTAAGGCAGCACAAGCTTTGCAAGGCCTCAGGACTAAGGCTTGTCAGGCTTGTTCTGTTTGACATTGTCTTGACTTGTCTATGACTTTGTTTTACTTGGTTTAACTTGTATTTTCTGCAGAAAAAAATGCTGATTTCCAAATGACCACATGGTTAATTTGTTTTACTTTTGTTCATTTTTGTGTGGTACAGCCATAGTTTTATATAGATAACAGTAACAAGCAAATATTCTGTACTGAATGAGATATTTATCACAGAATCACAGAATTGTAGGGGTTGGAAGGGGCCTATTTATGATGACGTAGTATAGAGAAATATAGTCCTGGTCTGACTGTAGAGGTCCTGAGATATGGAGACACGGGATTCAGTATAGAAGAGTACATGCATAGGGTGATAACGGATGCCTTGGCACTGTAGACTCCATGGTTATAGACAACTCACCAATGGTCAGTTATAGAAATGAAGACCTGGAGCTAGATGAAACTAGTTCTAGAAGTAACAAAGAGAATAAAGAAATCACATCTAACATACATAAAAGGTGCCATAGATACTAAGTTTGGATGTTAACATGAAGCTGCAGAGAAATGAAGAAAAAGCAAAGTCTAAAAGTGTGTTAGCAAACATACAAAAAAGACCCAAAGTGGATCCTAAGAGTGAAGAAGGAGAAACCATCAACATGAACATCATGTTCCTCCTAGCAAGTCTCCAGACACTGGTAACACCTCCTCATGCACCAGAATGAAACTGCTGACCTTCAGACCCAGAGGAAGGGTAAGCAAAACACAAGGAAAAGGGATAGGAACTAAGAAATATGTGTGTAACAATTTTAACAGTGTTATTATTACTGAAACTTTTTATGCATAGAAGTATTCTTTCTTTTCCTGCAATAAATAGATCTAGACTAATAATGATTATTGGAATGAACTGTTAAAACTTCCCTTACACCAACAATAAGTTATTGGTTTTACAGGTATATAAATCCTGTGTGTTTGCCCATGAACACTATTTTGAGCATAACAGCCGTCAGACATAACTTTCAAGCCTACCTTTACCTATTCAGTTCCCAGATGTCTTAAGCTTCCAATATTCTTCTCCAATGAACCCATCTTGACTATAACTGGCAGGCAAGGACAGGCAAAGCAGTCCTTTTTCATGAAAAATCACTGGTTTTCAGCCAGTTTTTCTATCATTATAAACATTGCTAAAGGTCTCAACACAAGAAGTTAGTCATCTGGATTATGAAGATGATGTCATTTATTCAGATCTATTTCTTCAATAAATCAAGCAGAACACCACAAACCATCCCTTGGTTATCTTACATAGTTGTACAAGCCTGCTAACAGGCTCAGAAAGGCAAGGTCCTATGCCTTAGCCTGCCTCCTACTTCCATCCCCTAAGGCTGCATCCGAGATGATTTCAACATTAATGCTAAAGTGCTGCAAGTTCCCGATTCTCTGATTGTCCACACAATCATAAGCACTACGGAACCCATGAAAACCATGCAGTTGCATTTCCTTCACATAGAAAACAGGGGGCAGCAGATCATTAGAGACCCAGATCTCATCCCAATAGTACCTTAGTGCACAGCCCCCTTCTGCTTACAAAGGGAGCTAGGAAGAATTCCCAGCTCCTCCAGGTGCTAAAAGTTTAACACCTTCACCACCTTTAAAGACCACATCCTTTGATCACAGGGGAGACAGTGTCAGGGGTTCTTCCATAGCTGCAAGTGAGACAGCTGAGATTTGCAAGTCCTGGGTTAAGTGCATGCTAGAGGAATCATAAGTTATTCCTTGGTGTGTTAAAGCATGTCGACCATACAGCTGAGAATTGCAACCTGGAAGCATCAGTAGTAGGTGTGGAGCAGATGTGCTACTACTGAGAAGCCTTAGGGGAAGATGCTTTGCTCTTCTCCTTGCAGAGATTCATAGACTGCAGCCCTGCCCTTCAGGCCATACATTGATTCTGTGAGCTGGCTCCAGAGGCATTATTTACTCCCAAAGGAAACTGCTTTCTACTTTTATGTTTTTGTGTATTTATCATGCTGTTCTCTGAATAATCTCTCATAAGAAAATAACTGTTTGGCAAGGCATCTATAGCTTTTTCAGTTTATAAAACAATTAGTATTGCAAAACATCTGGTTCTTGCATCCAGGATATAAACATCCGGAGAATTTGCAATGTTTTCAAGAAAAAACAATTGGGTAGACCCATCTGTTAGTTGTCCATGGACTTATTCGCCAGAGTCTGTGTTTGTCCAAACAGCAAGAAGTGGAAACCAGTTGCACAAATGTTGAGCTGCAGAGCTCACAGTTGAGAAGGTAAATGATACACAAGGCAAGAACCAGACACGTTGTAAAAGGAGTATTTCAGTTGGAGTTGGATGTACACCTGAAATAACTTGTCAGGTTTTGGAAGCATATTCCTTCTAAACTGAGCATGGTATACTAGGTTTATAGTGTTATAAGATGGCATGCTATAGTATTTTTCACTACTCACTTACTGTAGTTGACTGTGACAAATTTTTCATCTTTTAAGAGTATTCTGAGCTTATCCTCACATTCATTCCCGTTTGCCCATTTGGCATGCAGTATTTGGACATTTTAGGAAGGTCCCATAGCCAACTTTTAGGCCTAATGTTGGACAATTGCATTCACAGCCAAGGGCAAAGTTCAGTCAGGCTCAAATTTTCTCCTTTATCATGCCCACAGCTCACCTAAACACTGTGCCTGCTCTGAACTGATCATAATTTTATTCTTATAATCTATATTCCTGTAATACATCTATTGCTATAGAAGTTCTATTTTTCAATCTTCATAAACTGAAAAAAGGCTTTTTAAAAGATACTTCAAATGGAATAAAAATACAAAAATTAAAAGTATTGCATTGGTTATGTATTTTAAGTACACATACATCTTAAACTGATGATTAAATTGGTATGGGTAGTATGTCATAAACACAGACAAATACAGGGTTACCATTTACTTTTTTTCTCTCTAAACTCATTAAAGAGGATTTTTTTTAATTTTCCAAGGTATATAACCTACTTGGAAGCCAATAGAGTAAAAATCACGATTTCTTTACAACTGGAATTGTCATATGTGAACAGTAAAGAATTATCAGT